AGGGCAGAGGGAAAGTGCCGTTGCTCGCCATGCTGAGGCTGGTATGGAGGCGCTATACTACGGGGTGTCGTTAGCTATGTTGTCAGATGTCAGGGTACCCAGAGACCAGGTTGAGCATTACCGAAAGTGGGAAGGTGCGACCAGAGAAGTGCAAGGCGCGAAAAAAGGGCGCACAGAGGCGACTGCGAACGTGTTTGGGTATGCCTAATACAACGGCGCTGTGCCCTCTATGCAGTTGACATGACTCGCTGCTATTTTGAAGTTGAGAGGACAGGCTGCTCTAGGCGGCGCAGGAATGTGAAGGTGCAGGACCAGGGCTTGGGGTGAGGCTGCGCGAAGTTGCCTCTACCGTCGCGTATGGTGGGGCTAAATCGATAGCTAACCACGACGACGTGAGCTCATGTTATGAGCTATCAAACTTCGAGGGATTTGATGCTAGACTAAATACACATGTGCCTCTCCTTGGTGCCTGAGCGTAAGAGTTCTTGCGCTTGGCAAGGCTTGATTGGAGCCCTGGGCGATTGCGCTTAGTGCGGGAATGGATGCGGCGCTGGAGACGTGTAGGCGGGGTGTCGTGCATGTACCGATCGTAGGCGCGAAGCAGTGCTATACCTTATGCTCCTCCCGCGTTTTCTAGGGCGCTCCCACGCGACAGCTGCAGCATACGTAGCCAGAAAGACGCCTCCGTTTCCTGTCAGACCCTTTTACGCCTCTGCTGCCCTGCGTGCTATCGATATGGCCAAAGTAGACACGACCCAGCGGCTGGCGGACCTCCGCAAGCTCATGAAGGAGCGCAATGTCGACATTTACAGTGAGCGCGCTCACGACTAGACATGTGAAGACAGGCAACTAACACGTGTTAGTGGTACCGTCTGAGGACAGCCACCAGAGCGAGTATATCGCGCCATGTGATGCACGACGAGGTCGGGCCCCCGCTTCCTATCGCGTCGCACCCGTTGACACCACCTAGCATACATCAGTGGCTTTACCGGCTCTGCTGGATATGCAGTCATTACGCACGAGAAAGCCGCCCTCTCCACCGACGGACGCTACTTCAACCAGGCCGAGAAGCAGCTGGACAGCAATTGGGAGCTCCTGAAGCAAGGCATACAGGATGTACCTACCATCCAAGAGTGGACCGCAGATCAGGCTGAAGGGGGCAAAGTCGTCGGTGTAGATCCGAGCGTAGTCACTGCAGCAGACGCTCGCAAACTTGCTGAGAAGATCAAGAAGAAGGGCGGCGAGTACAAAGCCATCGACGACAACCTGGTAGACTTGGTGTGGGGGGACCAAAGACCAGCACGACCGAGCGAGAAGGTTATCACTCAGCCTGAAAAGTACTCTGGCAAGAGCTTCGAAGACAAGATTGAGGATCTGTGCAAGGAGCTGGAGAAGAAGAAGAGTCTGGGCTTCGTCGTATCTATGCTGGACGAAGTCGCCTGGCTCTTCAACCTCCGCGGCAGCGAGTATGTACTTTGTCCCCACATCAGAATGCACTGCTAACAAGACGCAGCATCCCATACAACCCAGTCTTCTTCTCCTACGCCGTCGTTACGTCCACCGCAGCTACCCTTTACGTCGACGAGAGCAAGCTACCCGAAGATGTCAAAAAGCACTTGGGCGATAAGGTCACGATCCGACCATACGAGGCTATCTTTGGAGACGTTACAGCGCTGAGCCAGGAGCTGTTTGAGGCGAGCGACAAGTCAAACGCACAAAAGAAATTCCTGACTTCAAACCGGGCATCATGGGCTCTTAACAAGGCTCTTGGTGGTGACGAAAAGGTCGAAGAAACCCGCAGCCCGGTCGGAGACGCAAAAGCGGTCAAGAACGAGGTCGAATTAGAAGGCATGCGACAATGTCATATCCGTGATGGAGCTGCATTGAGCGAGTACTTTGCTTGGCTGGAAGATCAGCTCATCAACAAGAAGGCCACGCTGGATGAGGTTGACGGTGCTGATAAGCTGGAGGAGATCCGCAAGAAGCACGACATGTTCATGGGTCTCTCTTTTGATACCATTTCGTCAACCGGCCCGAACGCAGCTGTTATCCACTACAAGCCAGAGAAGGGGGAGTGCGCCATCATCGACCCTAAGGCTATCTACCTATGCGATTCTGGCGCGCAATACCGGGACGGCACCACTGACACGACACGGACCCTACACTTCACTGAGCCTACCGAGATGGAACGTAAAGCATACACGCTCGTGCTCAAAGGCAACATGGCTCTCGAGCGTGTCAAGTTTCCCAAAGGCACAACCGGTTTCGCGTTGGATGCATTGGCTCGTCAGTTCTTGTGGGTGGAGGGTCTCGACTATCGTCACGGCACTGGACACGGTGTAGGATCCTTCCTCAACGTACACGAAGGCCCAATCGGCATCGGAACCAGGGTGCAATACTCCGAAGTCTCGTTAGCTGTAGGCAATGTGGTCTCCGATGAGCCTGGTTACTATGAAGACGGCAAGTTCGGCATCCGCATTGAGAACATGGTTATGGTCCGAGAAGTCGAGACGAAGCACAAGTTCGGTGATAAGCCATATCTGGGTTTTGAGCATGTAACGATGACTCCACACTGCAGGAACCTTGTCGATATGAGCCTGCTTACAGAAGACGAGAAGACTTTCATCAACGAATACCACAAGGAGGTCTACGAGAAGACGAGCAAGTTCTTCGAGAATGACTCTTTGACACTGGAGTGGTTGAAGCGCGAGACAGCGCCCTACTAGAGGATTAGGGTACCAGTATCAAGGTAGTCTTCGGTATTGGCACGGCGTTGGCATACTTACAGCGTTAGTAGTGTATACAGCAGCATGCATGGAGCCTGGCGTTTCCAGCGTGTCCCAGGGTTCTCTAGGGTCCAGGATGAGCTATTGCCCCACTCGGCCCGAAATATCATCAGATGACGGCTCAGCTTGTACCTATCTCAGCAACGGCCACTGCAGACCAAATGAAAGCATACAAATCATCTGACTAAGCGACGGCAATTCACGGCCCTGGTTCACACTTTCCCGACGGCTGATTGGCGTGTAGACATTGCATGTGTCAAAAGGCGCGTAGCGGGGTCTAGATGTTGTCGCGCCGCCGCGGACAATGGCGGGGCAACCTCCGAGCTGCGAAGGCGGGATGGAGGGACCTTACAAAGGCAAAAAAATATTGCGATGCCGCGGGTACATGTACAGGTAATACATCGCGTTTGACTTTGACTCACGATCTTACCTCGTTTTCTCTCACTTAGACTTTAATTCTTCATCGTCTGTGATAACACTCTACTCTACGACACTACTAATTGACTTGACCTTACCTCCCATTATTTCCGAATCACTTCATTCACAACACAAGACACGTCACAATGGCAACTGAACTCCCCACCACAAACGGCCACAGCGCACAGGATGGCGAGAACAACTTTGCCGTCAAGGCCGGTCTGGCACGCATGTTGAAGGGCGGAGTCATCATGGACGTTGTCAACGCTGAGCAAGTAAGTCTCTCCAGTGCTGACGTCTAGCAATTCGAGCAACAAGACCAATTGCTAACCAATGTCGTCCCACAGGCGCGGATAGCAGAAGAAGCCGGTGCTTCAGCTGTCATGGCCCTCGAGCGCGTGCCCGCAGACATTCGATCCCAGGGTGGTGTCGCACGTATGAGCGACCCCAAGATGATCAAGGAGATCATGGACACAGTCACAATCCCCGTCATGGCCAAGGCGCGAATTGGACACTTTGTCGAATGCCAGGTACGACTTGACGACTTCCAACTTTTCTGTCTTGAGGCGGATCCGCACTTTCAGCATTTGAAAGACCCATTTGCTAACGCTTACGGATAGATCCTCGAAGCCCTAGGCGTCGACTACATTGACGAATCCGAAGTCCTTACCCCCGCCGACGCTATTCACCACGTCTCCAAGCACCCCTTCCGCATTCCCTTCGTCTGCGGCTGCCGGGGCCTCGGCGAAGCCCTTCGCCGCATCTCGGAAGGTGCAGCCATGATCCGCACAAAGGGCGAAGCCGGAACCGGCGACGTCATTGAGGCCGTCCGCCACATGCGTACCGTAAACAGCGAGATCGCCCGCGCAAAGAGCATGTCAGAGGAGGAGCTCCGTGTTTACGCAAAGGAGCTTCAGGTCGACTATGCGCTGCTCAAGGAGACGGCTAAGCTTGGTCGTCTGCCTGTTGTCAACTTTGCGGCGGGTGGTGTCGCAACACCCGCTGATGCTGCGTTGATGATGCAGTTGGGTTGCGATGGTGTCTTTGTTGGTAGCGGTATCTTCAAGTCTGGAGACGCAGCCAAGAGGGCCAAGGCCATCGTACAGGCTGTTACTCACTACAAAGACCCCAAGGTGCTCATGGAAGTCAGCATGGATTTGGGTGAGGCCATGGTTGGTATCAACTGCGGTACAATGGGCGAGGAGGAGAAGCTTGCTAAGAGGGGATGGTAGAGCAGGAATATCATTTCAAAGGCGTCTTTTGGAGGCAGCCATGATTATTATTTGGCGTTCGGGAAATACAGCTCAAGCGTGGGCTACGAAAATGTATAGAAGAATAAGCTCAACTCGCAATGACGATCAGTTCAACATGCCATTCTACCCAGCTTTCGTCTGTCATTATCAATCGCTGTGACCGAAACAGAGTTGAGCAATTGCTGTGGTGCGACACGAGAATTCGCAATGTCGTAAATCACGTCATTTGTGGAGCCGAGGTTCCGCGCGCAGTCACAATAGTTTGGAAACAGACAACGTATTTCAGATTTTGATTGGGCTACCTGCAATGGGTTGCAAATAGACGTATCGATTGCACCGTACAGTCAAGCCACCGTGATGTTCGTAACCTGCTGGCGCCCACTAGTCCTGCACCAGGGACAGCTGCAGCATCATGCGCTTGCAAAATAATCATACCCATGAACTCCGCTGCGCCGGAGACTAAACCCATCAATATATCCGCGGTCCGTGAACCTATGCGATACAGACGTACAGAGAGAGGTCAAGCAAGAGAAGGCGCATATTTTTAGCGGTCCTCGGCCCACTCGTTCTCGCGGCGAATCTGCTCCTCCTCCTCGGGGGTGAAGTCGTTCTGGATGTTGAAGGTCTTACGGATCTCATCGGGTGACTTGCCCTTGATCATGTTCGCGACGGTCTTGCATCCTACGTCAAGGAGAGCCTTGATGTCCAGGTAGTTGGCGGCGAGGATGATCTCGAAAAGCATCTCCTGGTCGACCTGCATGAACTTCTGGTCCCACTCGTCGATGTCGGTGGACTTCTTGCGCGAGTCGGAGTCGTCGTCCTGGGTGGCGGGAGGGTCGTTCTTGTGGTGGCCACACCACTCGACAACCTTCTTCATGACTGCCTCGTTTACCTGCGACTTGTTAGTAAGCGTTCTTGGAAGGTTCTGGGGAGGTCAAGACATACGTTGGGGATGGGGATAGACTCCTCGGATTCACCACCGAGATCCTCGAGCAAGTTCTTGATGAGGATGGAGCGCTCAGCGACAGGGCGCTCGACCTTCATCTCGACACCATCGGAGGTGGTAATGCTGATGAGCTTGACGCCCTCGGCAGTAGTGGAAGCCATTGCGGTAGCTAGTTTGTGTGATGTTAAGGTGGTTATAGAAGTGGGGTAAGCTGTCGATGGAGTCGAGCGGATGGACTGGATCGGCAGTTTCGATTGAAGATAGAAAGGGTGCGTTGGAGGGAGGGTCTGCAGGCTCGGGAAGTGAGGAGTTATATATGCACAGGCGTTGTGCTTTCACGTTTGCGCGTGGGTGAGTGAGGAAAGGCAACCGCGGGCGAGCAGCTCCGCCGCACACCAACAATGAGGCTAAGCTCAGGCTGCCAAGCGTAACCGATTGGGGAAGGCGCAAGGCTACAATCGACAAAGGTACCCTTTAGTCACGCGAGAACCACGGTTTGTCCGCAGTCTCAGGTAGCTTTCTTAGGCATACACGCTTTGCTAACAAGCCAGTGATGAAAGACATTGTGATTTCGCGCTGTTGTTTGTGGGCCAGCCCAGCAGATGCACCATGTTTGCGCAACTGGAACGGCCTATGGCGGACCCCCGCCCGCGCAAATAGTTGAAGGATGACTCTACGCCGCATTTGGGCCGGCAGAAGTTACCAGAATGCGACATAGACTTCGAGTCACTGGGGCTGGTGCCTGAGGCTAATATTGCGCGCATCAGATATCTGTCGTTGGTATCGACACATGTTGGCTGTGATATCTGGCTACTAGATATGCAGGGAACTTGGGTGCACTGCAGTCGCTGCTAGTATGCCAACGACGAGTGGAGATGGACGCGTTGTGACGTAGCAGAATTCTTTCATTCATCATGCGTCGGCCCTGTAATGCCAGATATGCCTGTAACGAACCCATGGACTCGAGATGCAGTCCCACGTATCTCGAGACAGGTACTCCATTGATGTTCCGCCACGTGACCTTTCAGCCTGCATAACGGATCCGCAGCGGCAGCCTAGAGCCTAGACAGCCCTGGCGTGGGCGAGTCCGAGATATCATCGCTTGCTGCCACATCGCATCTGATCAGGCCGCATGATAAACGGCCGATATATCAACCATGCTTTTCCGCCAGATGTAGTTCGCAGATCATCGCCGTGCACGAGTCGCGAAACTCTACCCACCATTCGCTATTGATAATCGGCCCCCCTATCCGCGTGCAACTGATGTTTGACGTAGGCCAGCACTAAAACATTCGCTGGCCTCACTTTGTGCAAACAAACACACAACGACAGATATGCGCCTGCGCAACCCCGCCATACTCGACAACGGCGCACCTCGACTTTCACCATCATGTGGCGGAGAGTCTACTTCTTTCTAATCCTTGTGCGCATCTACTTTGCCCTGTCGCCCAGCTACCTGCACCCGGACGAGAACTTCCAGGGCCCTGAGGTCATCGCCGGTATGTCGCGACTCTGTCTGCGTGTCCTCCCACCACCACGACTGACCTGTTTCTAGGACGCGTCTTCTCCTATCCCGTCCACGAAACCTGGGAATTCACCTCCGAGAACCCTATCCGCAGTACCTTCCCGCTATGGCTCGCATACGGCTGGCCCATGTACATCTTGCGCTGGCTATGGGAGGGTTTCGGCTATGATGTCTCGCCGTCGGTCATATACTGGACACTGCGAGTACTGATGCTGTCGTTGAGTGTCGTCATGGAGGACTGGGCCATCCACGAGCTGGTCGCTTCGCCCCGCGCGCGTCGCGTTGCCGTCATGCTCGTCGCGTCTTCTTATGTGACTTGGACGTTCCAGACACATACCTTCTCGAACAGTCTCGAAACACTGTTGGTGCTCTGGAGCCTGGTGTTGATCCAGAGGATAACAGACGACAAGGTAGGTCTGCTTCGGTCCGCTTGCCGATCTAGGATATGCGGCTAACGCAAGGTGCAGAAGCGCTCCGGCATACTGGCCTCATCCATCCTCGGCTTCATGGTCGTCGTGGGCATTTTCAACCGCATTACCTTTCCAGCATTCTTGTTGCTTCCTGCGACGACCTTGCTACCTCATTTCCAGCGCAAGTAAGTCAAATCCGGTTGTCGTCTTCTCAACTCTTACTGATATCGACAGACCATTCTCTTTGGTCTTCTTGGCTACATTCGCTCTCTTCACAGCTTTCCTTGCTATCTGCGTGGATACGGCGTTCTATACCCCTGGCGAGTTTACCTTTTCAAAAGTCTTCAACGGGCCGGTTATTACGCCCTTCAATAATTTCCGCTACAACTCCGATTCCGCAAACCTTGCCCAGCATGGCATACACCCACGATACCAGCATTTCCTGGTCAATCTTCCTCAACTCCTCGGACCAGCGACGCCGTTTCTGTTCTTCTTGCGCAGGGCGCATATTTCTATGATTCTGGTCTCAGCTATTTCCGGCGTTGCCTTTCTCAGCATCTTCCCACACCAGGAAGCACGATTCTTACTGCCTGCCGTACCGCTAATACTATCCTCGATACGCATACCTACTCCGCGTGTCAGAAAAAGCTGGATTATCACCTGGGTCGTCTTCAACGTCGCTTTCGGCATATTGATGGGCGTGTACCACCAAGGTGGCATTGTTCCAGTCCAAATGAACATCGCCAAAACGAATGAGACAGTTTCTCATGCGTTCTGGTGGAAAACCTACAGCCCTCCGACATGGTTGCTGAATGGCAAGAACGAGGAGCTGCAGACCGTAGACTTGATGGGCTGTCCAGCCGAAACAATGATCGAAAAGGTCAAAGAAGCATTACCGCCTTGTCGAACGCGGAAACCACCAAAGGCTGATCGCGGCGCTGTTTACGTGGTAGCACCAAGATCAGCACATGCTTTGATACCATATCAGAGCCCCACCACCTCAAAAGAAGTCTCGTTGCAGGAAGTCTGGAGCTACCGTCAGCATCTCAATCTTGACGATATGGACTTTGCCGACGATGGCGTTTGGAACACCATTAACCGCGTTGTCGGCGATCGTGGATTGGTAGTGTGGCGAGCTACTCGGAATTGCTGGTCTACACCTCAAGAAGGTGAACCTGTCTCTGAATAGAGACACACATTAGAAAGAATCTTGGTAGTTCGATTTCTTGGATTTATCGTACAAGATATCAGAAATCTGGCAGCGCAAGCTAAACACTCGATTTGTTTTCCCCTTACCTTCTTCTGCATATATACCCAACAAATCTTTTACGTAGTTTCTCTTAATATAGAATCAAGCAAAAAGACCATGTCACATAAGTGCTCTTTCTTCCCACCGTGACGGATACAGATTCAGTGGTAAGTTTTTGATAATTGTTGATACATATGTCACCCTACCTGACCCTGTCTATACAGACCCAAAGCCCTCCTTCACAGCGCCCCACCCAACACCCTAACAGCCCACATGGCCATTCGAACATTCATCCCAACCTTCCTCTCCGGCTTCTCGAACTCTTGCTCATTGACTTGCTTCGCATGCTCACCCAACCACTTGACTTCCTCACCCAATCTCCTTCTCAACCCGGGATCCGACGTCGCAATAACAACATTGGCCTCCAAATCAAGCTCATAAGAGCGTTTAGTATAGTTGCTACTTCCAACAACCGTCAAACTAGGATCTTCCTTCTCCACCTCCGAAGAAGAGGAAGAAGGAAAGGTAACCCACAAGCCCTTGGCATGATACGTCCACCCGCCTTCCTGTCCGACCATACCCTTCTTCCACTCCTTCAGGATGATACTGTCGGCTAGACCCTCGTGTTTGACTTTTCGAAGGAACGATTTCGCGAGATGTGTGTATGCGCCTGGCAACAGGCCGCTTACGCCTTTTGAGCCGTAAAAACCATTGGCGTGGGGGTGCGCGGTCAGCACAGTGCCAGAGGAGGGGCGAGTGGAAAGAAGGAGACGGCGGAATGAGGGTGTCATGTTGAAGTAGCCGGCTGTGAAGGTCCAGGAGGAGTTTTGGAGGGGAGGGGTCGTGAGGTGCGTTAGAATTTTGGTCAGGGCGGGCAGTTCTGTTGAGGATGGGAGAAGGGGGACGAGGGAGAGAATGGGGTAGATTGTTGTTTTTGAGGTCGATGATGAAGGGAGGGCGGCGGGAGAGTTTGATGGGACGAGAAGGTGGGCGAGGTGTTTCTCCGCGGCGGATCTGTAGTTTGATGGTGAGTCCAGGGGTGAGGGTGCGGCGTTTGTTGTTGGCCAGGACATGGTGTAGCCTCCACTTCCTTCTTGAGTACTGGGCTGAATGTCGAAACTCAATTTTGCAACACCATCATGTATCCTTTTGAAGTAGTCTGTTAAATCTTTCGATCGGAATAGGTGATACCGATCCTGTCGATTCGTGAAGTAATCTTCACTCAGATTCGCTCCAGACATGATGATCTCGTCATCGACACCATACAACTTCATATGTTGCAAACCCCAACCTTCGTTGATGCGTTTAGGGATGTACTTCTTTCGGAGACCAGTTAGATTGGGTGTATGGTACATGCGAACTTCTACGCGATCTGGCCCGAATTCTGAAATAAGAGGTGTCATAAGAGAGGCGGTTGAAGGGTTTGGTGTTTCCCTGGTTCCACGGAGAGCGTCAGTGAGAAAAGACACCTTGAGGCCTGGATTATGTTGAAGAGCATCCCGGATTGTGGAGATTAGTTCGTGTTCGGTTTTCCCAATGTAGAGGGTTGATAGATAGATGCGGTGTTGAGCTTTTGATATTTTGTCCTGATAGATGTCAGTATAAGGTCAAGTCGCTGTGAGTGCGCTTGCTCACGTGGCTTGGAGAATCGGTCGTCCAATGGTCATGATGCATTGACTCTCTGTTCCCAAACAAAGTAGAAAGGAGTAAAGAGCAGATTTAGACATCAAAGACAAACACACAACACAAGACTGATGGTACAACAGCGAAACGTGTGATGGGTAGAGATGAAAGCACTATGAGCATCTTTGGGGATAGAGACGGTATAGTAGAAACAGATAGTGAATCATGTATCACGGACAATGGAAAGGACTCAATAGTGAAGACCAACCTACCTTTAACGTTTGATAAAACTCAGCGGGCGTCTGAATAATCTCAATTTGATCTGGCTGAATCTCAAATCGGGGCGCTATCTTA